TCTAGCACTTGACGGGCGGGTTTGACCGTCGTAATTTGCGACGGTCATCAGTTTGAGGGTTAACGGTTTTTGTGAAATTTGGCATCAAATATTTTAAAGTGCTGCCATTTTGAAACGGTTAATGATTTTTTAGTATAATTTTAAACAAAGATAAGTCTTAATAACATAAACAGTTTTGCAAAATCTCAACGCTGTATTCCAAACCGTTTAGGAGTTATTAATGTTTTTGTAAAAAACACATAAATACCGACAGTCGGTTATTATTAATTATTAATGATTAACTAGGCACCGCAGACCCATGTTCCTATGGTGAAATGTGTTTGTCTTGACCTAAGCAATAACGCTATATACAGGTGTCCAGAGAGTGACGGGACACCCTGTATATGTGAAATAATAAGAACTAAAGTGAAAGTACCCTGAAACTCATTTTGTATTTAGCCTTATATACGTTTTACCTTAGTGATACATATTTCATCACTAAGGCCATGATCACAGTATTAGTTATATCTAGTTGTAACTAATACTGTGATCATGGCCTTAGTGCTGAAATATGTATAAGTTGAAAAAAAGAGTTTCAGTATACTTTGGTTTTTAATTATTTCACGTATAAAAACCATACAAGCCCAAAGAACCAAAAACATACATCTCTGCAGATTATGGCACCCATTTCAGCAATAAGTTTAGTAATGTGATGGCTAAAAATAATGTAACAGTTTCGTTCAGAACTACCAATAAACTTAATTCATTACTGAAAGAACGCCCAAGAGAAAGCATACCAATGTATGATAAGAACGGTGTTTACAAGATCAACTGTAATGATTGTACGAAGTACTACATCGGCCAAACTTCCAGATCTTTTAAGAAACGTTTCAGAGAACACATACCAAGAAAAACAACATCCCCTCAGTCTTAAAATTTTGCTGAACACATAGTTACAAATAATTATAATTTTACAAGTATGGACAACAATATGGACATTTTACATTTCTCACAAGATCGTTTTTATAGAAATACTGAAATACACTGGAGGAATTTGAGATTTACAGAGCTGTAAGATCCGACAAAGAGAACGTGCTGAACGACAAACTCTCATTTCAGTCTAATTTTATTTACAATACAGCAATCATGATACTGAATGAGAGAGAAGGTTGAAGGGAATCGATGATTGGTGACAAGAGATAAGAAGGCGACGTCATTGACCATTAGACCTAAAATGAAAAAAAATGAAAAATTGTTTATTTATTTTTTTCAGGCAAAGTTAGGGCCACATGGCCCTTTCTTACACTTAACCTGACATTCAAAAAATAACAAAAATAATGTTACATTGGGTTAACTTAATCTAATTAAACATAAAATATTTAACAATTCAAGTATCTACATATCTCAGAAAAAAACATACAAATTTAACAAATACAAAAAACACATTTACACACTCTTGCATACACGCATCAGCAAACGCGCAAAGTAACAGTAGCCCTAGGACACGCCAGCCGAGACCATCTTCTCAAAATAGAGCTTTTTCAGCTCTATTTGTGCCGCCACAAACTGGGAATGTTTTTCAAGTGTCTTAATGTGCAGGGGTAGGCCGTTCCACAGACGACAAGCGGTAACAACAAAAGCCCTGCCATAAGCTGTGGTCACATGATGAGGTATACGCAATGTGATAGATGAATAACGAGACATTCTTGAACTACCCTGAGACAGACCTACGCACAACCACGGTAGTCTAGACTTTACATCCGGCCGGTACGCGTCGCTAACCTTCTCAGCAACTTTGTATGTTTTTTAAATGTTAAACGTCAGTGTTCAGTGTTCAATGTTCGTGTTACGTGTATATTCGTTTTTTAAAAATTATGACGACCTTCAAATGAAGCGATAACTTATATCCTTGGACGCCTGAAGATTACTCCACGGAGTTGAAACCGGTTGCAACATAACAACATAAGCAACGAATTGGATTACTTAAATGCAGGTATTTAAACCACTTTAAGCTAACAAAATGGAAAGATGTCACGGTAACCGAAATGAAAAAATTTATTGCTATAGTATTGAACATGGGTATTATCAGAGAAAAAAATGTTGTTGATTACTGGAATAGAAAAGAAAATAGGCACATTCCTTGGTTTTCTCGAGTTATGTCCTGTAACAGATTTCAGTTGATATCTTCTGTGTTTCACCTTAGCTCGTTTGCGCCGTTACCTCGTAACCACCCAGACTATGATCCCTGGCATAAGATAAGAGTATTTTTTGATTATATAAATGACAATCTAAAACAATTTTTTAATCCCTACCAAAATGTATCGATTGATGAATCCCTAATTGGAATGAAGAACCGATGCTCATTTATAACATACATGCCCCAAAAAAAAACATGCTAGGTACGGTATAAAAAAATTTTTACTGTGTGACAGTAAAACTAGTTATGTTATGAATGTCTCACTGTACAGTGGAAAAGATTTTCTTGCTGGAGGAAGAACCCAAAATACTGAAAAAGTTGTCATGAATGAGCTGGAAAAATGTAGCCTATTCAATAAGTGGTATCATGTATTCACGGACAACTTCTATACTAAATTACCGTTGGCTCGTCACTTATTCAAGAAAAAAACTTTTATCACTGAGACGGTGAACAAAAGAACTAAGGGTCTAGCAAAAGAAGTTGTGGGTGCTAATTTAGGAATAGAGACAAGTATTTATTACAGGAAAGGCAATATTCTTTTAGTAGGCTATAAGTAAAAGAAAAACAGGAAACCTGTTTTCCTAGTGACTACCGGTTGTCATGCTGAAGACCGACTTATAACTAGCAGGAGCGGACTACGTGCGGTGAAACCTGTTCTTATAAACAAATATAATTTGCAAATGGGTGGTGTGGACTGTAGTGATAGCATTTACCATCTATCCTGCACTAGGCCTTCCAAAAAGTACTGGAAGAAAATCTTTTTCAATCTGCTTGATATCGCCGTATTCAATGCTTGGTTGTTGTATTCTAACAACACAGATAGACCAATGGAAAGAGATGATTTTGTTGATAGCATTGTAAATGAATTGGCAAGGGGAGAAGCTGCTGCAGCAGTTGCAATGCCCATCCAGGTTGATGAAGGCCTAGGCCTAGATGAGAGTGTTCACAAACTCGCACACTTACCTGGCCGTAAGGAAAGGGTCTGTGTAGTTTGTGCTACTGACCCCACAATAAGAAGAAAAAGAAGTTTGTACTGGTGCCCTGGTTGTAACTGTGGGATACACACAACATGTTACCACAAACTGGAACATTACATAAGGCCTACCCACAAAGGAAGGAAAAGAAATGCTCTGACCAGTGACTCGGACTAAAAACTTGGTGCTTTTTGCGTGTACATAGTTTTAGTTTTTCAATTTTAACTTTTTTACCATTCACTTTACAGTATATAAGTATTGCATCTTTTTTATTGATCATAACATTGTGAACATTTTTTACATTAGGAATAGTTGTGTATTTCAAGCAGTTTTTAAAGAACAGACTTCCAAAGTTGAAAATTTTTTTTTAAAAACCTTTTTTGTGTGTTTCAACTGGACTATGGCTACTTCAAATAAAGGCATGTAACAAATATATGTTATATTCTTTTTCTGCATGTTTTTATGAACAAAATGATGTATAATACATTATAATTTACTTACTATATATATTTTCTATGATTTTTTTATAATATGCTGCGCGGTGCTAAAAATCCCGTTTCACTAGCGACTTGTACCATGTACCATGTATCAGTTCGAGGGTTAACTTAACAAAAAAATTTCAAGAGACAAAAAATTTAGTAAATTTTATGTAGTTTTCAATGATACCTTATTTATTAAGAATGGATAAATAATAACAGAGAAATGCTTTCTTTTCCAAATGCATGACCACTTTTCTCCATTTAAACAATGCTAATACTCCTTTTACGTTGTTTAGCATTGTTTAAATGGAGAAAAGTGGTCATGCATATGGAAAAGGAGGCATTTCTCTGTTATTATTTATTCATTCTTAACAAATAAGGTATCATTGAAAACTACATAAAATTTCCTAAATTTTTTGTCTCCTGCAATTTTTTTGTCAAGTTATAACGGTTTTTGTGAAATTTGGCAACAAATATTTTAAAGTGTTGCCAATTTGGAAAGGGTTAATGATTTTTTAGTATAATTTTAATCAAAGATAAGTCTTAATAAGATAAACAGTTTTGCAAAATCTCAACGCTGTATTCCAAACCGTTTAGGAGTTATTAATGTTTTTGTAAAAAAACACATAAATACCGACAGTCGGTAAACTAGGCACCACAGAAATGTGTTTGCCTTGACCTAAGCAATAACGCTATATACATGTGTCCAGAGAGTTACGGCACACCCTGTATATATACAGCATATACATGTGTCCATGAACGCAATAAATTGTGTAATTTTCGTCCGATTTTGATGAAATTTGGTTTGAAGGTGTAAGGGGGGATTAACTTGAATGAATTCGCAAACCATCATAATTGGACCATGGGAATGGGGTTTTACGGATGGTTTCATGGGGTAAAAATTGATATTTCTCATTTTTGACCCTAAAAACACAAAATTTCCCAATTTCTCTCTAGACAATTTTAAAGAGCTTGAAAAAACAAATAAATTAGTATATCAACAAGTTTTTGTACAATTATTAGTTACGGAGAAAATTCAAAAAGTTGTAAATTTAAAATTCTTATGTTATTCTTAATGAGAATATTGTAAAATGTTATATTTTGCTTGTTTATTGATATATTTTTATAAAACTTGGCAAATTTATTTATTTTATACTAAGCTATTTTACTAAAAAAAAACCCACTTTATTAGCCTCCTTGTAGCAGCAAACGTAGGTACCCGTTAAACCTAATGTTATTTAAATAGATTTAATTTAAAATAAATTCAGCAAATAGAAATTTGCTTAGTCTGCAGGTTTGCTGCGGCAGGAGTATTTATTTAATCTATGATTTGCGTAAATCATAAATAAATAAAATTAAAAACTGTATCAGATGGAAGATGACTTGGACAAAGTGAAGAACTCGTCTTCACAAGTAGAGCTGATGGAACACTTCAAAGCGTTCGGCCGCAATGCCAGTGAGCTGATGAACCAGGCGGCCAAGCGGCAGCAGGAGTTGAAGGACCCTCAACTAAGGGATGACTTGGCAGCTGCTCGGGCTGTACTCAAGAAACATTCTACAATGCTGCTCACTGCCTCTAAGGTATTTACACAACCGGTACTTCTGCTATCTCACATACTCGTGTGTGTAATTTTGTATGACTATTTTTAGGGATATTTTTATGGACACTCCCCAATCCTCTGGTGTTATAGATGGATATATCCAGAGAATACAAAGAGGAAATAGGATATAATTTATTTTTGTAAAAAAATACAACCGACTTCAAACGCTCTAAAAAGAATGAAATAATTTCAATAAAGTAAACTTTTGTATTAGTCAAGCTCACGTATTTCAAGTCGGCGCATCTCTAACTGCAAATATGAATTAAATAAAAGATGAGCGTGTATTTTGAAAATAAATAAATTGTAGCTGGATAACATAAATATATAAGTATTTTATTGTATTTTATGTTTACTTTAGAATGAATACATTATGAAAATAAACGGTATCAGCATTCTGACACATACTTTCTCCCATAAGCTTGTCAACAACCTTTATCGTAAGTAAGCGGTGAGAGTAAATATACGGAAATGGGATTTGTACAATTTTCTTCAGAATTTAAAGGACTATAACATACTAAATTTTTATCAAAATCGTTCGAGCCAATTTTGGAAAAATTTGATTTTCTGTTATTTTATGGGGTTTTTATGGGAAAATAACATAATTTATAATAACTTTTGAATCGTAATTTTTACAGAAATGGGATTTGTACAATTTTCTTCAGAATATAAAGGACTATAATATACTAAATTTTTATCAAAACTGTTCAGGCCATTTTTGGGAAAATCCTATTTTTCCGTTATTTTATGGGGTTTTATGGGAAAATCCCCATTAAAAATAAAAATTTCTAAAAAATGAAAAAAACTATCACAATTGTAAGGACCATAACATACAATGTTAAATCAAAACCGGATTTTTGTCTAAAATCCTATTTTTTCGTTATTTTATGGGGTTTTTATGGGAAAATAACATAATTTACTATAACTTTTGAACCGTAATTTTTACAGAAATGGGATTTATACCATTTTGTTCAGAATTTAAAGGGCTACAACATACTAAATTTTTATCAAAATCGTTCGGGCCATTTTTGAGAAAATCCGATTTTTCCGGTTTTTTATGGGTTTTTATGGGAAAATCCCCATTAAAAATCAAAATTTCAAAAAAATGAAAAAAACGCCTGGAGATACCATGGATTAGAACCTACATACCAAATTTCATCGAAATCGGACCACAGGTGTAGTCTCTAGCTCTGTACACATCCAGACACACAGACACACACACAGACACACACACACACACACACAGACATCACTTCGAAAACCACTTTTTTGGGTCCAGGGGGACCCAAAACTAATATATCCACTCAAAACTCAAACTCGAAAATTTTGACGAAAACAATACTTTCTCCATATACTATGGTATAGGGGGAGAAAGTAATAACACACACAAATGTTCAATATAGTTAAGAAAATAATTAATTAATTTCGATATTAGCCTATGATAGGGAAAAGAAGCTAGTTTAATATTAAAACGTCACTTTTCCAAGTTAAAAACATTTAAATGCGTTTCAGTATAATGTTTTTAAAGATACTCCTTAATACCACTATAAGATTATAATTTATTATCTTACTAAAAAAAAAAAACTTTATAATGGTATCTGCCGATCTTTGGTTACAGTAATAAAATAACACCCAACACATAACTATGAAAAAGACATGCAGATTAACACCTTCAGTTATAAATAGTCACCTACAATGTGGACATCCTCTTTAAATTTTGTATAAAAAATCATCATAGAGCCGCGCTGACTTAAAATACGTGAGCTTGAGTAATACAAAAGTTTAATTTATTGAAATTATTTCATTCTTTTTAGAGCGTTTGAAGTCAGTTGTATTTTTGTACAAAAATAAATTATTTCATGATTTTTAGTGACTGTATAGTTTGTTATATATTAATTACTTAAGTCTTTTTGATAAGCAAAACTGTTTGAAACAATTAATTCGGTTTGTGTCATTATCGCCAAAGCTAGCATTGTTTCCGTTGTTTCGATCGGTCTGGTCGTTTTAGATATCGCGCCAGTACTTGTAGTAGCAGTAATCGTCGAAGTACTAGTCGTTTCGATCGGTTTGGTCGTTTTAGATATCGCGCCAGTAGCACTACTCGCGGTGCTCGATGTAGCTTTAAGAGTTTTCTAACTCTTATCCGCAATAGTTTTACCCGGAGTAATTACGTAGTATTGTGACGCAAAATTCTAGGGGGGGAATAAACTAGTATTCACCAAGTCAGGCTAGGCCTACCCCTAGAACTGGCCACACTCAAATTTCTTCCCCGGAGTGCTCAGAAGGAGCCAAGAAAAATCCAGGGGTCGATACGAAGTTGTCACGGCTTTGACTGATCAATTTATTAAAATTTTATCGAAGGCTCAGAGCTCTAGAAGCGCTCAGGAAATCCTGCAGACGCCCAGTTGGAGCTATATCATCCCAGCCTTCGTAAAAGTGTTTTGGAGAATTTTGCCTAATTTTTGGAATGACTCTGTAGGGCCGACGAGTATTCAATCTTAAGCCAATGTGATTCAATTACTCGTAATGAACTTTAAAATAATTAACTAAAGGCCTAGGTAAATAAAATAGAAAGTAATATGACGTAAAACCCAATCCCTACAGAATCGTCGAGGCCTAATTAATATGATCGAATGGAGAATTTATCGTGATACGTTTAAAATAAATTTAATATTAATTTCCGTAGGTGATTATTCAACTCAGCCTACTCCCAAGACTCTATTCTTTCACCCGCCAAAGACGGGGTTTAGAACTCAGACGACAAGACTCGGGGTATTAAAATGTCGAATTAACTGGAGTAACTTAAGTAATAATTAATCGTGAAACGAACGGAATTAACGTAATTTAATAGCCAATTGATTTAAAACCAAACGTAAGATAATCCACCAGTCACTGGCAGGCAGGAACTGGCGGGTTTTGTACGAGTCGGCGAAAACTAAGTTAATAAAATTTTGAAAATTAAATCTAACTTAAACGGGTAAAAATAATTGGCAGACGAGTATGCGTATGTTAAGAGAATATTTAAATGAAAGTAGGAAAGTCTGAAAACGTAGCTAACCTGAATCAATATCGTAGAATCGTATGGCGTGATCGTAATTTCGCAAGAGCTCCTCGTGAACAAGTCGACGGTTGAACAGCGAATAAACATGTCTTTGAGTAAAATCCTTTGTTCCTGCCCGCTCGAGGCTTACGCGCTCAAGTGGCAAAATTTAGTACTACTAGATAACATAACAGCTGATCGAATTCACTTGTTGAGCTGGTCTAGTTTTGTCTGTCGTCTGTCAACAAATAAACACCAGTTTGGGGTTATGTCGTCGTCGGCGTTAAATATCTGTAAAATCGGCCAGTTTAACTTTATTATGTGAAACGAAGTGCTATTATGAATAAATATGTAGTTGTGGATGTGTTTTTGTACTTCACTGTGAATAAAAATAGGCCTACGTTCTTTGGCCCATAGGCCAAGCTATGGCCTACACATAGGCCTAGGAGTAGGCTATTGTGGTTAAAAATCGGGTAAGTTCTGATGTTCATCTATTCGTAGTACGTTTTTACCCCCCTTAAAATTTGGTACCTTACACCCCTTTCCAACTTCAGCAAAAAAAAAGAAAAAAAGATCTAAAACGTAGGGTTTCAGACGGGGTCGGAATGGTCTCGAAGAAGGGGTGCCTGTAGAAGTCGTCGTTTAGTCGCAATCGTTCGTATCGTATCGTATCAACCAACGGGAGGGATATCACCCGCTCCGTCGGGGCGTGCGTCGGAGTTCGACGAGTTGTTCGATGCTCTTCGGTTTTGAAAAAATCCTACGTCAGGTCGGGCGTCGTCCAAGAGGCACGTCGGCCACCTCCGATGTGAGGTGACTCACCACGACAAGGCCCGATTGGCCGTAGTTCGTCGCAATTAGCCTCGATGCGTCGTCTTTCCGGTCTCGGCGAATTCATTCGTTGGGACGTTCACGAGGCACGTCGGCCACCTCCGATGTGAGGTGACTCACCGTGGCCAGGCCTGTGTGGCCCTCGTTTGCCACGGGTTGCCTCGGGAAAGCATCCACTTCGAAAGATTGCGTAACAGGATTTCCGGGATACCTCTGTTTGACAGGGGTTGCAATTGCCCTGAGCCACTGCGTCTGCTCAGTCAACGCCGACTACCCCTAATCGTCGTCAAAAAGCGGCATCTGGCGTTCCAGAAATTCTGCAAATTTTGTGTTTGTTTTTCGTGTAATTTTGAAAGTTTCGATATGTTGTTGACCGGAAAGGGCGGGGGAACATCGTCGTTGTGGAGGTTTCGTACTGCGGTGTGTACTCTGACGAGAGCGAGGTCAGCAGTACACCGAATGCCGAGTACCACCTCCACACTTAGGCCCGGGACGTGGATATCCCGCGAATAAGGTTGGCTAGTGATTTCGTCATCTACTCGGTACCGATCCGAAACACACGCTCCGTTGGCCATACGTAGGTTGACGTCAGCCTGGTCGGGTACGACGCCGCACGTCCGAAGATGACGCACGATCTCCAATCAGACTGACTGACGAGCCGGTATCGACGAGGGCACTGAACGTCTCACCTGAGATGACCGCGTTGACGAAGGGTCGGTAATCTCTGGGGCGCGTTCGCGGCTGATGGATCACGTGAATTGTGTTACAAAGCTTAGCGAAGGTCGTACGGCGTTGGGTAAATCGTTGCGTCTATCGAACGTTACGTGGTGATCGTGTTCTGTCGTGGGACTGAAGATCGTGATGCGCGACGGAATATCTTGCCTGGGCGACGGGATGTTGGCTAGCAGCTTTACCAACACTTCGAGGGTTCGTCGAACAGGTGAAGGATGTTCAGTGGGAGTCCCGAGTATATCTCGCACGCTGGCCATCTCCTGGTACGCGGAAGGAGGTTCCAGCAACTGCGGTCAAATTCGGATATCATGGGCCGCATAAGCGGTAGTCCACGATATCGTAGTCACCGTCGGGTTCATCGACTGACCGATGCTTCCCAA